GTCTGCGAGATAGGGACTTGAACGTCGTAAACTGGTACGCAGCATAGACCTCGAAGTCCCTATCTAATGGACGTGTCTGCGCGATAGGGACTAGAACATCCAGGAACGTGGCTGGTCCGGAGCAGAGATAAGCAGGTCAGGCCCCGGAACGGGTACGTAAGATAACCCTAGAAGTCACTATCCAACGGACATGTCTGCGAGATAGGGACTGAGCGGTACGTAACATAACCCTAGAAGTCACTCTCTAACGGACATGTCTGCGAGATAAGGACTTGAACGTCCGGGTACGTGGCTGGTCAAGAGCAGAGATAAGCAGGTCCGGTTCAGGAACGGTAACATTATCTCCCGAGCATAGCTCCCATATGGTCGAACACAACTCCAGAAGTCCCTATCTCAAGTACGCTTCCTCGAGATAGGTACTTGAACGTCGTAAACATGGTCTAACGAAGGCTCCCAAGGGACTGGAATAGCGTGCAGATATTGTCTAGCCGAGCGCTCGAAGGCACTATCGAAAGGACGTGTCTGCGAGATAGGGACTTGAACGTCGTAAACTCGTACGCCACAAAGCCCTCGAAGTCCCTATCTAATGGACGTGTCTGCGCGATAGGGACTAGAACGTCCGGGAACGTGGCTGGTCAGGAGCAGAGATAAGCAGGTCAGGCCCCTAAATGGCTGCGGTCTTTGAGCCCAAGCTTGTTTGAAAAGGAAAGGAAATTGCCAGGGTCAACCGTCCCATCGTGATACCTCCGGCAGTGGTGGCGGCCCTTCAGCAGCCACGATTACTTGAAAAGGCCCTTGAACCATCGAATACCACATCATCCCTTCCCCTGATGACTCTGCTTCTCTCTGCTCCAGTTGGACCTTATATTTGCGACGTTCCAGGCGATATGGAAGCTATGTTCAGCCACGTTGAGGGAGAGCCGTTCTGGGGCCGACAATATGGACGCTATGTCGGAAACTTCCTTTCATACTCACTCCCTTGGCTCCAAGAGCACAAGCAGCTCGGGCTTCCTTCCGGGACTCGGTGGATGTATTGTCCCCTTCCCTCCGGTGCGGGCGGTTACCGTCGCGAAGCGACGTGAATATATAGTAAAAGAACTGCTTGCTTCAAAGTGCTCCAAGCCTTTCTCAATGTCACAGTGAAGGAATGTAATGAGGTTCCACCGGTCAACATGCATGTCGCATCAGTTGTTGTTTCACACTGTTTGCAACCATTCGCAACCTTGTACATTGTGCAATCCAAGCAGCCGTTCCGCAGTCACAGAGAATGTGCAAATCTTTTCCTTGCCAATCCAAGTGGGTGGGCATTGGACCTTTTTGATACCATCCCAATTTCTCCACTCTGTCAGCGGGTTCAAACAATGTTCATTCCAGAGGACATCAAAAGCAGTATCCAATTGCAGGGCCATGAAAAGTATCACAATGCACCAACAACGTCCCCGAGCGTTTCTATTGTATTTCCCACAGACACTCCTCATTTTCACAACACGTGATGTTTGCAAACTTTAAAAGTCTGCCAAATAGCAGAAATGAAATACCTGTGGAATTCCCTCAGACCCGATCCCAGCGCCTTTGTACTGGGAGATGAGCTCAGTCGCATCGTACTGCTTCCAGCTCTGAGCATGGACATAGAACAATGAC